AAGTCATCGAACGACGTGGGAAGGGCAAGGGTCAAAACAGGGGAAAAGGAAAGGGTCGCCACCCGGGAGGGAAGGCCGGTGTCATTACTCAAATGAAGATCGACAATCTCAAGCTTGAAGATTGCGTCACCGCCCAGAAGGCAACGATTCTCTTCAGAAAGTGTGACAAGTGTGACCACAACATGCTCGATGGGACTGCCAAATGTCCATCCTGCTATGTGTCGATGGAAGCATGGATGAAGCATGGAGTGACAATCGTGTTGCAACAGAAGTCTGCCGGTTGGAAAGCCGTGCCGCTGAGATCCATGGCGTCTTTGCCCTCAGTCAGGTTAGCCAGGTGCAGCCAAGAAAGCACCGGGCCGGCTCTGAGGCACGCCAAAGGAATCGGGCAGGGAGGTCCAACTTCGGGGTCATGAAGGACGGGGCGAAGAAGGAAGTCAAAAAAAAAAGCTGAAAAAGACTGGCTTCGCCACCATCAAAGAGCGGATGGAAAATGACCCGTTCTTTATGTATAATTGCAGCATAGCACAACTCACTCCTCCTTGCTGTGACTTCCTACACAGACTAGGTGCTTGTATTTCCCCCGATGTGGGCAGAACGTTCGAAGCCAGGAGAGAGGGCAAAGGAACCGACGTCAAGACAGAAGAGGCAGATGCGCGAAAAGGTAGGCAAGTCGCGAAACACTGCGTTTTTCCAATGATTTGTGGCTCAGGAGGGTCGAAAAGTAGGCTCGCTAAAGTGGCGGGTGCGGAGCCAGCTGCCCACAGGGGCGATGAAAAATTGGCGGGAAGGACATTTCGAAGTCAAAATGTACAAAACACTATAAGGGTTCGGACCGCTTCTGGAAGTCCGGATGTCGAAAAAAGTGCATGCCGTTGTAGCGCGAAGCACATTTCGTAGTCACATGTCGGGAAAAAAAAGGTTTTCGGACCATTTTTGGAGGTTCAGATGCCGCTTCGCTTCACTACAATACACTACACTTCGCTACACTACACTACACTATATTAAATTATATTCCACTGCACTACATTCCACTACACTCCACTACACTACACCTCACAACACTACAACTACAACTACACAACGACACAACTACACTCCACTAAATTACACTACACTACATTACACTACACTACATTCCACTACACTATATTGCACCACACTACACTACCTTCCACTATACTTCAGTATATTACATTACACTACAACTACAACTACAAATATAAAAATATACTCCACTACACGAAAATACACTATACTACACTACATTACACTATACTACACTACATTACACTATACTACACCACCTTCCACTACACTCCACTACACTACACTACATTAGACTACACTGCATTACACTGAATGACATTGCACCATAGATAGACAGGTAGACAGATAGACAGATAAATAGATAGATAGACAGATAGACTGGTAGACAGCTGGACACAGAGCCAGATGAAAGGAAGAGAGAGAGAGAGAGATAGACAGACAGATAGACATATAGACAGATAGACAGATAGAAAGATAGACAGATAGACAGACAGATAGAGAGATAGATAGATACATAGATAGATAGATAGATAGATAAATAGATAGGTAGATAGATAGATAGATATATAGATAGATATATAGGTAGGTAATGAGATGAAAGAGAGAGAAAGAGATAGATAGGTAGATAGATCGATACATGGCTCGATAGATACATAGAAGATAGACAGGTAGGTAGGTAGATAGTTAGAGCAAGAGAGAGAAAGAGAGGAGACCTCAAGCACCTTTCAGTCCATCAGCGGCTTCGCTCTGCCATCCCTGATTCACAACAACCAATCTCTCTTATAGGTTCCCTATTTTGGAAACTTCCGCCACCGCCTTATGCGGTACTACTGGTATTATAGTTTCATACTTGTTTTCAGAAACGTTAATTTGCAACATCACGAATGCTGTTAGTTCATGCATATGCCCTACACAGTTCAAATAGATTATATAGATTATATAGATAGGAACAAAAATGAGAATATATGATAAGATGCGTTACGATGTTAGAAAAGAATGCAATTGTCATCCGGTAACACACTAGCGTAGAGTCAGCTTCCTTTGTCTTAGGTTGCCCAACGGGTACTGGATAGTAGAATCGAATGGCACGTCCGTCAAAGGCCGCGCACATTGACCGGCTATTGGTTCCAGAGCAAAACCGTCGAGCAAAACCGTCGAGCATCGTCGTTCCAAACGACTTCCACGTGCAACCGGGATCAGTTGTACCACAGCCGACAACTGCAAACAAAAACATCCGAGCCGTTAAGAAGAAAAGGCATCATCAACGAGGGAGATGCGCAAAGCGTAACAAACAGACAAATGAAATGATGATGGCCGACGACTTGATAGACGATGAGACATTGGCTACAAACCTACAGCAGCTGAACGGCCAGATAAATGAAACATTTTGTGAACCTGACGGTGGTGCAGTAGGCGAACACCGTGAAGTGGGAAGTAAAACAATAGCTGAAAGTTTCATGCAGCTGAGCGGTCAGACACATGAAGACTGCCGTGAACCTGTTGGTGGTGCACGGCGCGGAACATTCGCGGACCGCTTGGTGCAGATCAGCCGATGCCCGCTGAGACCGCGTGGTGCGGACGAGGAAGAAAGAACATCGAACAGCCATGTGCCACCTGTGTTCTCGCCGCCGGAGTCCTTATCGGACGCTGCCTACGACAGGGTGTTGCAAAAACAGAACAACTTTTTCCACCAACTTTTCAATAGCTATGTTAGTTTACCAGAGGGTATACCATGTTATACCCAAAAGAATGACAAAATGGGGAAATCATGGTTGACCAGATATAGAGGTCGCCTTTGTCTTCGGGCTTGGTTAGGATTGCCCGGCAAACCATCAACCAATCGGTAAAAACTGGTGTTGGTAACAGTGTCTGCCCCCCCAGTTCAAAGTTAACGTTTAAAAACATGAACTATAATTGTAATTAATTGTAAGTATATGTAAGTATCATAAACCATAGTTATTGAAATCATGAACCAACTCAGCTATCGTAAACGGGGGCCCCACTTTGTAATTTCGATGTTGGTTGTCACTAGATAGTTAACCAACAGCAACGACGTTTGAAGCAGCAAATGTATGACAAGTAGTATAAACCCAACCATGAATTTGGGATATTGTAGGAGATAATCTGCATAATCTCAATGGAGAGCTGATTTGGGGCTTTCGGTGGCTTTGATCCTGCAAAAAGGGAATCATCTCGAAACCATCAATTGACCATTCAGTTGAGGTTACAGTAGTTTTTTTGGCGAACGGTCACAACTGGTGAATCGAATAACGATCGAATATGATTGTTTTACCGTCAAAATGAGATTCAGCTTAGGGAGGTAATGTGATATGACATGATATTTAAAAAATAAATAAAAGTTTTTTGTTTTTGTTTGGATATAACTATCATAGTATGGTATTAGTGAATGCATAAATAAACAACTATATATACTGTATATACTGGTTGGTGGTTTCGAACATTTTTAATTATTCATAATATATGGGATAATCTTTCCCATTCACTCATATTTTTCAAGATCGTTAAAACCAATATATCATATATATATATATATAATCATATATATATAATATTACATAACATATAGTAATCTACAGGAAACGATTGCCTTTTCCTTTCTAATTAACGAGAATTTTCTCCCCTATATATATATTATATAGCTGGAGGTTTTTTTTTCGCAGTTATAGTCACTGGGACTTGAATCAAGTGATGGGATATTCAAGCAACCTTGAATTTTATGACGTTATAGAAATAATGGAATAGACATTATATATAGATAGATATATATATATATATAAATATATCTATCCCATAGGATCCATGTATGGTATATATGCTAACATTGTGGTATATTGATGGTAAATGTTACCATATATAGTACATGGATCCTATGGGTATTGGATATCACAATATTGATATATTCTCCAATACCCTCTGGTAAACACACAAAACTATTGAAAATGGCCCACTTAGTTCGTCGATTTACCCATTATCCAACACAGTTATGGCCCGAAATACCAGTTATAAGTCACTTGTAACCCCATTCATGGTTTATGTATAACATCATGTTTAACTATACCCGTTAAAAATGGTGATGTTCCATAGTTATGTATATAAATGTTTACAAGAGAGCATGAAATATGTAGAGCCCTGGGCTCCACACTGCTACATCGTCATCCTCTCCGCATGTCTAGGCATGTGTATCCAGTCTAGTGGAAATACATGTGCTACCCTCTGGATAGATAGAATTTTGACGTATCTATATATATATAATATACATATTATACATATATATATATATGCATATGATCAGATTTACACATACTAATACTAATACATCTTACTTCCCAACAGTGCAACGCACATGGCTACTGACTGTGAATCATGTTTCTTTTCGCACCACAATATCACACACAAAATTACACATTTTACACAATGTAGACACCAAGCCAAAAAAAACATCAGTGAACTTACAGCAAATAGATACCCCAACAAATAGATACCCCAACAAATAGATACCCCATACAGCAAATAGACACCCCAACATTTTACGCAATGTTTTGAACAGCAAATAAATACCCCAACAATGAACATTTTCACTACGTGGAAGTGCAACAAATCACTTCGAAGTGGAGAGATTTCACCGTGAACTTCGTTCGGGGCCCCTAATATCCCAACAAACATAAAGGTGTTATATTTCACCATGGGAAAAAAACCGTGAAATTAACCTGATCAGCAACCCCAAGTAGGTTATATCCCATTAAATTCCATTGAATCTCTTAAAAAAAAACACGTTAAATCCAAGTGAGGCCCATTCGAAATCTTCAAACTTCAGATTCATTACCAGAGGGTTTTTGTCTCATTAAATCACCATTAAATCACCATTAAATCACCACTAAATCACCCTTAAATCCAGGAAATCCAATCCCTTTGCATCTCAATCCATCCAGAATTCTTCGACGCCGATGGACCGGATGGACCTCGCGAGCTCTGGGTCGCCGGGGGTCGAGGTGGGGCCCCAATGGGAACCCCGAAATCCAGGCCCGGCCTACCACAATGTGGTGCCCCAGTTCGTTGGCTAAGTTGATGCAATTGACTCAAATAACTATAGGGTTTATTGTAGCTCTGTCGAACTAGTTGACTAGTTTCTATGATTTATTGAGTTATAACTGGTGATTTCTATAGTGATTCATGGTGATTATTAGTGGTTAATAATGGTTAATAGTGGCTAAACATGTGATTAATGATGGTTATAACTGGTTATAAATGGGATTATACATGTCATAAATAGGGTTATAGCTGACTTTTAACTGGGAAAGGCAAAGGGCTATTTGTAGCTGGTTTGAAGGGGGACAATGGATGAAAATGGTCTTGATAATTAGATTAAAATGGTGATTTAATGAAATTTATTGATATGGTAATGGTATTTAGTGTGGGTTTCACCCAATGCCATAAACCTACCATTTGGGGATGAGTTATATAACCCATCTATGATGGTTTTGGGGATTGTTTATGGCATTGGGTTTACCACATGTCATGATTTCTGAATCATGTCAAGCATACTTGGGATGATTCATGATTGGTTGAGATCACTCATTTTTGGGACTTGTGTTGTTACCCTCCAGTAAATTAACATAGACCCTGCCAGATAGGGGTTGGAAGACTAGTTTCCACTATAAATTGGTCATCTTCAGGGTCTATGTTAATTTACCACGGGGTAATATCACCAACAGTTCTTTTGCTATTAGTTTTCCATTTCTGGCTGTGCCTTGGATGGGTCATTGAGTAGCTAATATTTCGGGAATACCATACCGGAATACCTGATGTCTGGAAAACAACAACATCCATATCTTTAGAATTCGCTCTAACATGCTTACTTTCAAACTGCTTTAATTGTACAAAACTTTACATGTCCTCATTGAGTCATCATATTTACTTATTTTTTTCATCCAAAACACTCAGGTTTGGTCAATCATATTCCAATGTTTGATAGGTTAATGTTGATATACCCTCATTTTCCCTAATTTTCGAGCTGCACCCATATCATCCTTAACCCTCGACTATCATCTGGAGCACTTATTTCTTTGGTTGTTGCTTAAACCACCCCAAAATCCGTATCTTTGGTCCAGACTCATGCTTTGGGTTTGTCAACTACTTTAAATAATCGTTTCAAGGTGTGACTTCAAACCCATGAACTGAGGAATCCACATGTTGCAGATGCCTGCGAAGCGGTGGATTAAGAATTGGATGAAACTTTAGGATATTGACAGCTGAGCTGTGGATGGTATCCTCAAATGCATGCTAGCTCATTGCAGAGTTGAACTTTGAAACCTGGTGCAGGGTTGAATTGCCTGGTCGCACGCTTCATCCTTCGAAAAGAGAACAGCGATGGCTGAGATCAGAGAGTTGCAGCAGATGCTCCCATTTTTCCACAGGAACAGCTATAGGAAAAACCCATGAACACAATGGATTCCTCTAGATTTTGGTAACTTTTCAGAAAACCCACTGGTTCCTGCAGATCGTAAGTTTTGATTAGGAAAACCCATGGGAAAAACCGGGAAAAAAACCTGGGTTCCGCTCCAGATCTCCGCCAGGTTCGGGTGCTTCCACAGCCATCCAAGCGGCCGTCGGGTCCTCGAAGCAGACGATTTTCGTGGACGCGGAGAAGGGCGAAGATGTGATGCAGGAGACAAACCTCGGCCGGAGTTTGGGACTTTCCCCACAGTTATGGCCCGAGTCATACCAGTTAACTTATGTTTGTACTGAAATAACCCCATTTATAGAATGTATAATCCCATAGAAATAACCAGTTGTAACTAAAAATGGCCAGAACTGCACTTTTTCTGAAGGTGCAGTTCCAGTTGGGTGTGTTGGGCGTGTCTGAAAACTGGGTATGTGTATATATATATATATATATACCAATGTAAGAGGGATGATGATGGATGATGATTAACCATGGGTTTAGGTATTCAGACAAAGCCAGTTATAAGTGGACCTACATTGTAGGGGTTGTATCCCAGCTTATTTGGTCGAAATTGTCCCAAATCCTAAGATTACAAAGTGGGGCCCCATTGGGGATAGCATTCCAATGACTAGGGGTTCTCGTATACCTATAACTATATATGTAGAGTTCAATGGGTTGATTCAACCAATACAGCCTTTTTTACCATTTGAGGAACCACCATTTAAATCACATATCACATATCAGATATCACTCGTCCAATCACAAATTACATATCACATATCAGATATCTCATATATGTATATATGATATCATATATACATATATATATATATATATGTGATATCATATATACATATATATATATGTATTTGATATCATGATATATATATATATATATATACATATATATATACACACCATATTTAATTTCCCATATATCATATGTCATATCATTCACTGTGATTCTAATTGGATTACTCTCCAGTAATCAAACATTGCAATTGAACATGGACTTGGATAGAAGATCTTCCCATTAAAACCTCCATTTCAAGGGGATGTCCCATTGCCAAAGTCACGCTAGGACACCCTTCGCCGGCGTTTGGCGGAGATCTTGACCAACCGAAAAGAGGTGCTGGCAGTGGGGAGAAACCAGGAATCGTAGCGCACAAATTTCTGCTCGAGATAGAACAATTGATGCTCGTTTGGGTCCTTTATGATCCACTATCCTTGATGAGCAACAGGTTCCAAATAACGACTTTCTTACAGCTGGGTAGATCCTGTGACTGGTTTAACTATCCATGGTTACGAAACAGTTGCAACCTGGGAAAACTACCAATCAGGAACCTACAAAGATCCAGAGACCCATTTTTGTAGTCAACCATCCATTTAGGATCGTTAATATCTTACATTGTCGGTTTATTAAACAATAACCGGACATGGTATGTCGGTTTATTGTTCGTGTTAACCATCCATGTTTGGAGTTCGCACGGGGCCCGGGGTCGATTTCTTGTGGATTTTTCCATCCCCAATTCTGGTGTGAAAAACCGGGTTCAAACATCAATTGCAACAGAAGCACGAGTGAACAAGGACAAGGGTTGCAAAAGCTACATAAGCTGCAAGCCCATATTTAATTATATATATATATGTGTGTGTTATTATTATATATATATGTTTATATTTATATATATGTTGTTATTATTATATATAATATGTTATTATATATATATGTTATTATATATATATATGTTTATTATATATATATATATGTTATTATATATATATATGTTATAGTTATTATATATGTATTTTATATATTCATATGTTTTCCGGTAATCTAAATTAGCAATGGAACATCATTATTTTTAGCAGGTAAATTATCTGCAAATGGGCTATTTCATATACCTGCCCTGGAGAATTGTTCAAGGGCTTGATACAGGAGATGGTCTGTCCACTGGTCCCGGATTGTACCAATAGAGGCGAGCTGCCTCCATAATATGACGATGAAGAAAAATCACCGTGGAAGCTTATATAACAATTGTAGACGGTTATTTACATTGGATTACTTGGTGGCTCATCCCACTTAGTAAGTGAGTTATAACCCCAGTTATAAATGGGATAAGTAGGGTTAATCCACTTGTAACTGGGGTTATAACTCACTTACTAAGTGGGATGAGCCACCAAGTATACATAAACCATAAACGGAGTGACTTACTGACTTATAACTAGTATGACTCGGGGCATTACACTGTAGGGATCCAATCCCATAAAATTCCCATTCCGACGGCGGGGTTCCATGTTTTTTTTTTTAATGTACCCTCCAGTGATAGCCACACCTAAAAACTGTGTTGTTCCATTGCCAAGTTAAATTCCCAGAGGATATGTCAATGATTAACTGGTTGGTGGTTTCAAACATGAATTTTCTTTTCCATTTCATATATGGGATGTCATCCTTCCCATTGAGGAACTCCATCATTTTTCAAGATGTTGTGTTTTACCACCAAGCAGTTAAAATTCTCTGATTTTCGTATCAGAGATTGTCCCATATTTCTGCATCTAAAGCGGGATATTAGCCATGTCTATCAAACAAATTACCAGAGGAATCCAGAGGATATTATAGTATATTATATAATTTTATATATAGTATATTATATAATAGTATATTATTGTATGTTAATTATAGTATATTATAGTATATTATAGTATATATTATAGTATATATTATAGTATATATATATACTTATATCTAATTATCCATATTTATATTAGTGTGTGTGTATATATATATATATATCTGATTGGTGCTTTGGAACCATGGAATTTTATGACTTTTCCATTCAGTTGGGAATGGAATGTCATCATCCCAACTGAGTTTCACTCCATGATTTTGCAGAGGGGTTGGTTGAAACCACCAACCAGATGTTATGTCAAGGTTTCATTTTCAGCTGAGCCTACGAACATCGGGTTGCTGGCCGTTTTTTGCGTCGTTGGAGTTTTCCTCAGGTGGCGGTCGAAACAATGCTGGCAGCAGTGTTGGAAGATTTTCCCAAGGTGTGGGTGGCTGGTCACATCGTAAATGCTTCATAATATGAAAGTTATTAATAGCTGGTTGGTGGTTTGGAACATTTTTTCCATATATTGATTGGGTATAATAACCCCATGTGACTAATATTTTTCAGAGGGGTTGAAACCACCAACCAGGAAAGTTATTAATAGCCCTTTTGGTTGGTTCTGAAATAAGGGATTATATTAGGTTCAAAAAGGGGATTATGAACTAACCCATACAATTATGGCCATTTATTGGTTATAAATTTGTGATAACTGGTTATAAATGGGATTATACATTTCATAAATGGGGTTACAAGTATATACTTTTAACTGGTAAAGGGCCATGACTATAGTTCCACTGAAACACAATGAGTCGTTGACCATTGGTGGCTCTGGCTAACATGTGAGCGAGTCTCCCACTGAGCTATGCCCCATTTGGGATCACCGCAGAATGACTCGAAGACCAACAGAGAAATCAACGAGCAAATGCAGACGTTAGCAGCAAGAATGGGGATTTCAACAACATAACCCATATGCTCCATGTATGGAATATTTACCTACATTTATCCTAAAAATCAACCAGTTTTGTAGGTAAATATGCCATACATGGAGCATCTGGGTAATTACTATGATATAATACTTGCCAATGAACACGTCACGGCGGCACGATGCACAGCAGTCGTAGTTCCGGATTGATTACTTGGGCATCTTTGTCATTGTTGCGAATATCCCACGAGCTGGTTGGTGGTGTTCCAAACATGTTTTATTGTCCATAATATATGGGATGTCATCCTTCCAATTGACTTTCATATTTTTCAAGATGGTTGAAACCACCAACCAGATAACTATGGAAAATCACCATGTTTAATGGGAAAATCAACTATTTCTATGGCAATTTTCAATAGCTAATGTTAAATTACCAGAGTACATCTGCAAGGCGGGGACCTCCAAACGGAATTCTCCATCGCGTAGAAGGACACCCATTCCCTACCCCATTGGTTCGATGCAATTCGTAAAACATAGAGTTCACCTACAAAGTGGAGCCCCCCAGTTACAAGTTGGTTTACACACCTCAATAACTATATAGATATATTATTATATATATTCACCATAAATCATCATAAACCAGAGTTATTTAAGTTATGTTCACAAACTTACCTATGCGTTCATCTCTTAAATGTCCTATGGAAAAATTATAAATTACCTCTAATAGGCATATTTTGCCAGGCATTTTGCCAGATATTTCATAGGTATTTCCCCATATTTTACCTACGAGGTGGTGCCCCATAGTTAGCTGAGTTGGTGCAAATAACTCCAATTTCACTAGGGTTTATAGTAGCTGTATCTATAAAGTATGGTTTATAAACGAACAAACATCACTGGGGGGGCACCACCCTGTATGTGTTTTATCAATTTTTGTCCGAAGATCCTGCGGCATTTTTGACGCAGGCGTCTCGTGGCTTGGTCGCCAGCCTGGAAGCCGTGGCTGGACGTTTGGGGTTGCCTACAGCCTTGCCCAGCGGCGTGGAGGCTCACCGTGGGGCCTTAAGGCTTCACCTTTTTGGGGGTGCTATACTGAAGAATACCATCCCTTGTAATGTCAACCCTGGATTAATAAACCCTTAGGCCCAAACGGCTGTTTAATTGGGGGGGGGTACCATTTAAGTATTGGATTATGACTATTGGAGGAGTATCCCCCTAATTAATAAACCATGGTTTGGCAAAATCCGGGGTTGACACTATGAATTAAACACAGCCATTTTATGGTCCCAGTCATATGTGGTTTTAACCCCTACAAACCACGGTGAATCTGCAAGGTGGAGAATGGGGGAAGGGACTAGGACTGTATTTTTCTTGCGGGAAAAAATACAATGTAAGGCCCCCCAGTTATAAATTGTTTTTTAAGCCCCAGTAACTATAGTTATAAATACCATAAACCATAGTTATTGGACTTATAAACCAACTTAGCTATCTTGGGGGCCTCACATTGTATGTACTTTGATCGGTCTAGCACGCTGACCATGGAAGCAGTTATGTTTGGGGTCAAGTGACGGCGGTGTCAAATGTTGCCGTGTGATAAACCCAATAGTGTTAAGAACAATGATGATTTAGACACTGATAATCGTACTAACAACAATAATGATTACCACGACTATCAGTTTGATCCACAATTCTTGGAGGTCATTTACATCATCATAGTAGCAGTGTAAGTGCACATTTATGAGCCAAATTTGGGAATTGTTTATTTTTGTGTTAGCCTCGTGATACGGTATTCAACAACACTACCTGGGATGATGACCCAAAATTGATCGGTATTTTATTTGGTAAAAATGTTCATCCATTTCGAAGAGTTTTTGATAAATGTTGGTAATTAATCATGCTACAAGTATGGTCAAACACACACACATATATATACATATATATATAAATATATACATATATATATATACACATACATACATATATATATAATATGTGGGGTGAAACTAAAACCATAAACCGTTCCCGATGTTAGGAGAAAAACATAGGGATGTTTTACTCCCAAATTGGAGATCTACTATTCGGTTTACCAGTTTACACTACCTGAATCTACCTGATGCGTGTGTGATTTAATATTGCAATGGTGCTGTATCAAAACCCTCTGATTTTCCATCTGACCGTATCAAAAAGGGGCGGGGTGAATATCCATGAGCACCACTGCTATTTCGATGTGAAAACCAGGGAACCAGTGGCGCCCAAATGGCCATCAAATAGGGAAAGTGATGATATGTGATGATCCAACCAGCTCAGGGATTAGACTTCATACTCACTGGAAACGCGTTTCAAAAAATATGGCTTTGCGCAACAACCACATACCCCATAGATCCCCATAGGATCCATGGTGCTGGTATATATGCTAACATTGGATCCATGTTACCATATATGGCAGCACCATGGATCC